GTGTATGTATGCATATGTCATACCTAGTACTGTAGCCAGAACGCAGTACTCGGGCCTACTATGCAAGGCCAAATTGACCTAATAAGCCAAGTTTTCCGGAATTTATACATTTTTCTCATTTTTTTCTTATGAAATGATAAAGCTATCTATTTCATTATGTACGAGTTAATTTTTTTCAAATTTGAGTTAAAACTAATGTAGATATATGACCGAACCTAACTAACCCTACCTAACCTATCTTAACCTAACCTAAACTAACACAACTAAGTAAATAATTATGTTCAAAGTATAATATAATAATAATAATAATAATTCAACTAATTGGAAACAATTTATTGAAAATAAAGAAAATCACTACCTATTAGGCAAATCGGGCATTGCATAGTAGGCCGAGAAGTGCGTTCTGGCTACAAGGTATGACACACACACACACATTTATTTTATCTATATATATATATATATATATATATATATATATATATATATATATATATATATATATATATATATATATATATATATATATATCTATATCTATATATATATCTATATCTATATAAAACTGGGCCGACTGAAAAAAACTAATGCCAACAGCAGCAGCACCGCCAAGGCTTAACAAGGCAAATAACAGCATTTGACATGATATGCCAATCCACAAACAAGCAAGAAAAACCCAGCCTTCAATGTAATGAAATGCCATTTTCTGGGCGAGACCCGGAGGCATCCCAGAGCTTACTGGGCTGATATGCTAATGTCAGACTTTGGCATGAGTCATGTGTATGGAGTTCTGTGGGCCTATCGGGGACCACGAGCCAGAACCTGGCCCCCTTAGAGAGGCACGGGGAGCAATGGCCAATGCTTCCAAAAACACCCCCCGTGTTTTTGGAAGCATTCTATGTCTGCCATCGACCAGGTTAGGCACCCAGAAAGGTAAGCATCCCAAAACAAACCCCTATTCTGGTGAAAATATTGCTACCAAAAGCCAAACAAGTGGATAGAGCTCCCCAAAAAGAAACTAGCATGACAACACACATTGCCGCGCCGCTGTCTATGCAGCTTCCCCTCCCCGGGAGGAGGAAGGGGAAGCCCCTGACCCCCCACGCCGGCTATCCACCCGTCAGTTCTGAGGCTGGATGTCAAAACACGCAAAAAACCACTGACTGGAGGGAGGGAGGGCCCTCCCTCCCTCGAGCCCCCCCAAAAACAGGTGCAAGCGGGACCTCTTGTGTCTTGTGCGGAATCGTACCGATTCCTCAGTATATCGCTCATTTCTTTGATGTCATCAGTTGAAGTTCTAGCTCCCTTTCGCAGGGGGCCGATACTAAAGGTAGTTTTTTTTATATTGATTTTGCACAGGGAGAAAAAATATTTCAAATTTTCTTTATTTCACTGATGGCCTTTTGCTCTCTCTCTCTCTCTCTCCTGGATTTTGTATGATTCTTGTAGCTTTATTTCAATTGTTTCTATTTCTCTACCTAGCCTCCTTCGTCGTTCTTGAGATAGGGTGCAACTCAAGTTGTTCCGCGATTCGTTTTCTTCGCCTATAAAGGAAATGGCATTCCTGTTCTAATCTGCATTTTACCACAGGTGAATTTAAATTTTAACAGCCCACCACCAGCCTCTGTTTCACTAGGCATTTGGGAAGAAATCAAAGAATAACATACAGTACTTGCTACTTTGTTGACCAGACCACACTAGAAGGTGAACGGACGATGACGTTTTGGTCCGCCAAGTACCATTCTCCAGTCACAATCGACTTGAGAATGGTCCAGGACGGACTGAAACGTCCTCATCCCTTCACCTTCTAGTGTGTGGTCTGGTCAACATACTTTAGCCATGTTATTGTGACTCTTCTCCTTGCTACTTTATACAACATAATACTGTAGTGGGGAACTGACAGAAGGAGAGACTTCCAGAGATAGACTGCCACACTACACAATTCAAGATGCTGCTCAGAGTGGTTTCCCTAATGAACACAGTAAAGGTCAATCACAGGGGTTGCTTTATGTTATCTCCCCTATTAAATTTTTGCTCTCGATCGAGAATTTGTTTCATTGGAAAAGTGAATATACCTAAAGTCTCACACCATGAATTTCTCTACTTTCTGCAAGCAGCTGGTGGTACAAACTGTAAATGTTCTAGAAAGATTTACTTGATGGGTGAAAATTTCTATCCTCTTTGACTACAAGCAAATTTCAAATGGGTTCTTTCTTTAATGCTCTACCAGCTGGCTATCTAGAACAGTGAAAGTAACTTTTCTAGAAAGCAGAACAGTCACATATACCAGAAGCCCCCAATTCCATGCAGATGTAGAATTTCACCTCAGGACAGCCAAACATTTCACAAAGCCAACTAAAGTCTGCATCATTGACAGTCCACTCTGTGATGACGGGGTAAAAACAAGTGCCGTCTGCCGGATGGCTGAACATGCCCTGAAAGTGATCCACACAGAGCCAAACCCTCAAGAAGCTAAAAATAGGAGATACCCATAGTGAACAGCCCCACAAGGAATAAGACCAAAGCAGCTCCCACCCTATTTGCTTCAGACAATGAAATACCGGGAAGCAGTTAGAGTGGAGCCAGACCACACAGCCAACTAGGAGATGAAGTAAACACAGTGTGCGCCAGACTGGCACAAACTATACTTTCCCATAGTAAGAAAACAACATGTAAAGGATTTGGGAATAATAATGTCTGACGACCTAACGTTTAAGGAGCATAACCAAGCAAATATTGCGACAGCCAGAAAAATGATAGGATGGATTACGAGAACTTTCAAATCCAGGGATCCCATCACAATGGTTGTACTCTTCAAGTCACTTGTGTTGTCCCGTCTTGAGTACTGCTCAGTACTCACTTCCCCCTTCAGAGCAGGAGAGATTGCTGAAAGAGGGAATACAGAGAACATATACGGCACGCATAGACGCAATAAAGCACCTAAATTATTGGGATTGTCTCAAAGCCCTCCAAATGTACTCACTAGAAAGAAGACGAGAGAGAGATCAAATAATATACACCTGGAAGATACTGGAGGGCCAAGTACCAAATCTACACAGTAAAATAACAACGTACTGGAGTGAATGATATGGAAGAAAATGCAGAATAGAACCAGTGAAGAGCAGAGGTGCCATAGGCACAATCAGAGAACACTGTATAAACATCAAGAGGCCAGCGGTTGTTCAACGTTCTCCCAGCAAGCATAAGAAATATTGCCGGAACAACCGTGGACATCTTCAAGAGGAAACTAGATTTATTCCTCCAAGGAGTGCCGGACCAACCGGGCTGTGGTGGGTATGTGGGCCTGCGGGCCGCTCCAAGCAACAGCCTAGTGGACCAAACTCTCTCAAGTCAAGCCTGGCCTCAGACCCACAAAGAGGAATATTAGCAAGAAGTGTCCACAAAGTGGATATGCAGCTGGTTTCTTTATAGCATTGCTGAGAAATACATAATAAAACAAATAATAATGAGTAAGTATGTTATTATGCTCTATTTTGTTATATGTCATATAAATACATTAACAGATATTAACATTGGGCACTTTCACCAAAGTCCACAAATTTTTTTAGAGGTTTTTTCTGTTTTTTTTCCATTGTTTATTATCTGATTTTGTTGTAATCTTTACATCCTGTGGAGTGCATACCTGTCCTTAATTATGAACAGATAGTCAACAAATAAATCAGCTACAACTGGTAGAACTTGGGACTGAATTTTTTGGGGGGTGATTTTTTCACAGATTTAAAACCATTTTCTGTGTCTCTTTAGGTTGTGTTGATGATTAGGGACCGGATTAGGGCTTTATCACTTATATAAAGTATACATATATAGCTCCTAAATCATTATAATTATTCCTATATTTTGTTTTTTGGGAGTTATTTTTTCATGACTTCATTTAAACACATATTGACCTATAACTTTCACATAATCAAGTACAAATGGCAAATAACATTTATTAATTTAAACATACAAGTAAATTAATGAATTAGAGCTACCTTATTCATTGTCGATAACTTCAACTTCAATTATCTCTAAAACTAGAGTTTCAACTTTGAGTCTGCATCAAAAATCCAGTTTCTGACTGATTTTCACCATTTTTACATATAGTCAGCACAGCTGTCTGTTCTACAATCCTATTTGATTGTTTGTCATAAACCTTATATGTTGGGAGCTATAAATTTTATGGTCAAAATTTAGTGCATATTTTCAAATGCCATATTGACAATTTTTTTTACAGTAAACTATGCTGAATCCTATAACAATAAATAAAAATAAAGATCATATGCTCTTTTGAGAGCATAATAACACCAAATGAACAATTTGTGATATTTGATATTCTTAATGCTCATTTGAAAATCTGAAATTTTCAATATTTTTTATATAAACATTTATTTATTTATTTATTTATTAATAATTATTTTTCATTTTCTTGTTTTTCAAGTTATGTTGGTGATTTAGACAAAGTTGGAGCATGTGCCTAATAATTATATACAATTTTTTTTTTTAAAGAATTTGAGCAAGGAGCAAAATTTCATTTCCCAGCCCCTTAAGAGTCTGGTGTGGAATGAACTGGGTGGAGCTTGCCAGGCAGCAAGCACCAAGGAGCCACCATGGAGCCCTCCCAGAAAAGAACTTGCCTAAGCCTGAATACAGTACTGTATATGCATTCTTTCTATGCATTTATGACCATTGTTCACTAAATTACTATAAGTGTTATAAAAAAATAAACTTTAGTGGCTTGACTACATGCTTACTACAGCAATTACCATTTTTACCTGAATTTTGTACAAAGTTTATGGGATAATCTAATCCCTTCATATTACAGTATATTCTATTTAACTTGAAAAGTACCTTTTCTACAAACAGATAAGTGTAAATACACTTGTTGAAAAATTTGTAACTATGCTGTAATGAACCACATTTTCAATGTCAATTTACAACTATACATTTCTTAAATGAAAATAGCAGTCTTACACTGCAATACAGTACATTCTTTCTATGCTTACCTTCGTCTTGGTGACATGGTCAGCTGGCAAGGCCTCGGGCACCGTTTGAAGAGTGGTGCGCACGCTTGCCGACATGGCGCAATTTTGTTGCGTGCTAAGGGTGGCACTAGTGTGTGGCGGGTTGGCTCAGTCTACGCCAGAGGAACTATGGGGTTTAAAGGCTTGGGCTACCATCCAGGGGCCATTACACTTGGGTGCACCACAAGTACTTTGGAAATTCCTCACACACCACTTCCTACACCTCCCATAATCTGTTGAAAGCAATATTGATATAGTAAATCAAACTTCTTCACAGAAAGGCAAATCATGCTATCTTCCTGATCAGTTTCATGAGAATGAAAATACAATAAAAACCACTTGTAATAGCAATGCCTTTTTAAATAAGTAAACAATTTTGGAAATATAATACAATTCATTGTTATGTGAGCAAAAATACTTCAGAACTACCAATTAAGGACAAAACTTAATCATCAGGGCCCATCAGTCCCCACTATCCTATTTCCCATTTTCTTGTAGAAGGGAAGAATCGGTACATATAAATAAAGCAATATGTAAAAAGATTATGAAAATACTTAAAATGACATCCAGCAGAACAAAGACAAAAATCCTTCTCCCCACCCCTCACCGCTTCATCTATATAAATAAACATGGAAATGTTCATTTGTTCAAAAAAGCTAATCTCCAAAAGTTCTTCACCGATTGCTTTGAAATTTTCACACAATGTTCCATTCGCATCCGAGCGGGTTTTTATATACATACTATATTGATGTCACGTTTGTATCGGAAAAAACTGTTTTTTTGAGAAATCTTCGAAACCTCTTTACTAATTGCTTTGAAATTTTGACACTATGTTGCATTCGAATAGACGCGTGTTTCTATATACATGCCTTACCTGTGACAGGAAAAAAACATGCTTTTTTTTTTTTAAAAGTGCCATCTGTTGGACATAAGAGCAACACGCTGTAATCTCCCAAAGTTCTTCACCAATTGCTTTGAAATTCTGACAACATTCCATTCAATATGCACGCGTTTTTATATACCTACTATATAGATGCCACACCTGTGACGGGTAAAAACATGTTAAAGAAAAAAAACAGCGCCATCTGTTGCACATTATAGCAACACACACTATACTAAATACTGTATGTTACGAATTCCATTTAAATGTTTCCGATTGCATTGATAAATTTAATTTTCATAGGTTGACTTATTTGTTGGGGGCCTCGTAGCCTGGTGGATAGCGCGCAGGACTCGTAATTCTGTGGCGCGGGTTCGATTCCCGCACGAGGCAGAAACAAGTGGGCAAAAGTTTCTTTCACCCTGAACGCCCCTGTTACCTAGCAGTAAATAGGTACCTGGGAGTTAGTCAGCTGTCACGGGCTGCTTCCTGGGGGTGGAGGCCTGGTCGAGGACCAGGCCGCGGGGACACTAAAGCCCCGAAATCATCTCAAGATAACCTCAAGATCTCAAGATAATTAAAATTTTTATTGAATTATTTTGTGTGACTGTTGGAATTGAGCTGTGTTGTTTACTATACCGTTCATTTCGTAAGTATAGATGTCACACCTGTGACAGGTAAAAACTTTTTTTTTTAAGAAACAGTGACATCTGTTGCACATAAGAGTCACACACACTATACTAAATATGTTACGATTCCATTTCAATGTTTTTGATTGCACTGACAAATAAAATTTTCATACATTGATTTATTTTCATGTTGATTTAATTATTTTGTGTGACGCTGTGTTGGAACTGAGCTATGTTGTTTATTGTACTGTTCATTTTGTGAGTATAAGTATAAATGCTGCACCTGTGACAGGTAAAAAACAATTTCTAAAAAAAAAAAAAAAAAAGGGCACAATCTATTGCACGTAAGAGCAACTCACACTATACTAAATATGTTTTGATTCCATTTCAATGTTTCTGATTTCATTGATAAATTGAATTTTCATTTAATTATTATTTTCATTTTGATTTAATTATTTTGTGTGACATTGCATTGGAACCGAGCTGTGTTGTTTACCATACCATTCACTTCATGAGTATAGTTTTTTTTTTTTGTCATTGTTTTTCATTTCGTTTAATTGTTTTTCTTATATTTCAGTGATGGGAACATCAGATCATTTGACATTCCCAATTTTCTGATGGGAACACCAGACCATTTGGGGATACATTGGATGAGGGGACAGGAGTGGGGGATGGTGGGAGGACGAGGAGACGGGGGAATGGAGATTGGTGGGAGAGGACAAGGGGACAGGGAAGTGGGGAATGGTGGGGAGGACGAGAGGACGGGGGAGAGGGGGAATGGTAGGGAGGACGAGGGGACAGTGGAGTGGTGGATGGTGGGGAGGACATAGGAATGGGGGGGGGAGGGAGGACGAGGAAGTGAGGAATGGTTGGGAGGACTGGGAGGGTTGACTGTTGCCGAGTCATAGCAACGCGTGACCCGATACAGCTAGTACAATATATAAAGAGCTTCCTGCAAGTTGTCAATAAAAGAGTGGCAGTTTTGTCAAGTAGTTGTAGTAGTGAGTGTGTACACTGACTGTGGAGGTGACTCCTAGTAGTTGTAGCAATAATAGTGGTGTAATCAAGGTAGCTGGAAGGGATCAGGACAAAGCATCAAGCCATTACGACTATACAGTGGAACATCTGTTTACGAATGCCCTGGATTACAAATTTTTCGGTATACAGTGTACAAAGTAAATTTCCTCGTAAAATTTGACTATGAAGTTTGCCTTGGAATATGAACGTTTGTTAATACTGTACATGTATGGGTCGAGCATGTGGGTTCTGCTGGGTGTGGGGCAAGGCACGCTCAGTTTACCAGTGTATCTCGCCTAGTGACGACCGTGCTTGAATTCTTTCTGAAGAATTACATGGGTCCCAAGAAAGTCAGTGGTAAATACTAAAAGAACAATGATCTCTGGCAGGAGAAAATTGTGGCTTGAATGTGTTCCAGAACAAAACTTTGAGATTTGAGCCAGAACCTGAAGTGCCTCTTGTTGAGGAAATTGTTTCTCTGGGCCTGAAATTAGGCTTGGGGTTGGATGGTGCTGATGTGGGGGAGTTGGTGGATGAACACAGCAAGGAAATGACCACCGAAGAACACCTAACCCTTCACAAATCGCAGCAACAAGAAACTGCCAAGGAAATTTCTTCAGCGGAGGATGTGGCAGTAGAGGATGTCCCTTCCTCATTAAGAAAATGTGTGCAGTATGGGAAGAACTGCAAAGTTTTGTGTACAGGACTATGACAATCTGATGTCTCAAAACAGACAAGTGTTAAAATGTAAGGAAAAAGTGTCTATAGACATTCTTAGTAAAACAGGCAAGCAGTGAGCCACAACCAGGTCCTAGTGGTATACCTGTAAAATGAGTGAGTGAGTAAGCGAGTGCACACCCCAGAAATATCATCACTGTGTGATGTTATAATGGAAGGGGATCCCCCCTTCCAAACACTAACACCTCTCCTCCCCCCCCCTCTCTCCTCGCCGTCTTCCATACACCAACAAGAGTCCCCAATAAAGCTAAAGTATAGTAAAAAAAAATTGGAGTATTATTCTATATAAAATGTATTTTTAAGTTAATATTTTTAGGTGTGTGGAATGGATTAATTCAATTTACATTACTGTATTTCTTATGGGAAAATTTATTTCAGTTTACGAATTTTCGGTGTACAGACCATCTCTTGGAATTGATTAAATTTGTAAACCAATGTGCCGTTGTATAGCACTTAGAAGGGATAAGGATTTGGGGTTGGACAGGAGGGTGAGGAAGGGGGGGGGGAAAGAAAGGTGCCCAAACACTTGGATAGTCGGGGATTGAACGCAGACCTGTATGAAGCGAGACTGTCGCTCTACCCTCCAATCTAAGTGGTTGAGCTCAATGTAGTTGGGGTTGTGACTGTGTGCTTGTGGCAATTATTTTCCCATATTTTTATTAGTTGTGTTAATGGTTAAGGTGTTTTTTGTGCTATTAAGGTTTGTAGCATTGATTATGGTTTTAGTTTTGTTATTAATAATACCTGTGGTTACTGTAGTGGTGTTTGGTGGTGGTGGTTTGTGGATGTGGTGTGGTGTTTGGTGGTGGTGGTTTGAGGATGTGGTGGAGAGTAACAGACAGGATTGACACTGATCAGATAACAGTACATGATGGAGGGTGGAACCGACAAAAACTTGCTAGTTGTCTATTTACAAATGTTTACAATCACTCACAATTTAGCCAGATGGATTACACAACATTTAGCAATTCTGTGATCCTTTGGCTGATGAAGCTTACACTACCCAACACAAAATTATCATTTACTGTAGTGCCAAGACATTTGTTTATTTTAATTGAAAAAATTTGCAAACCGAGAGTTTTGACAAACATCTCACAATCTTGAAAATTGCAAAGAAATTTCCCAGTATGTGCAGTCATATGGTGGCTACAGTCCAAAACAGTACTTTCATAGCACTAAAGACCCCTTCTCAGCAGAATATTTCACTACCTTGCATTGGTTCAGAGGATCAATGTCTGCATGGCCCAGTATCTGACCAAGTCTCCTGGTTGGTAATTGGTCCACCAGGCTGTTAAACACACCGGCTTGCAGCTTGATGCATGATTCACAGCCTGGTTGATCAGGTATCCTTTGGGGGTGTTTATTTGCCTCTTCTGAAAACCATGAGAAGTTGGACAGCTCTGCCCCTATGATTAGAGAGAGGGACTTTAAAAGATTTTGGACCCTTGATGTTGATAGAATTCTAAGTATTGTACTTATTGCACCTTAGCTTTTCAATATTTTGCACTTCCTGCCGTGACCATCAGTCTCACGTGGTGTTATTTGTGTGCAGATTTGGAACCAGTATACTGTACCTGGAGCATACTTGGAGAGGGTTCCAGTTCTTCTACTCCCCAAGCCCGGCCTGAAGCCAGGCTCGACTTGTGATAACTTGGTCTAATAGGCTGTTGCTTGGAGCGGCCCGCAGGCCCACATATCCACTACAACCTAGTTGGTCCGACACTTCTTGCTAAAACCTATCTAAATGCATCTTGAAGACATCAACCTTTATTTTGGCAATATTTATTTAAGGTTATTTAACAGCTGTAGCTCTCTGACGTTCAGAAATTGCTCTGTGTTTGCCTATTTGTTTGACTGCTCTGTGTTTGCCTATTTGTTTGACTGTGCCTATGGCACCTCTACTCCTCATTGGTTCTATTCTGCATTACCTTCTGTATCTTTTGCACTAGTATGTATGTAATTCTATTGT